TTTAATTTTTTTTTTTTTTTTTTTTTTTAATTCTTTGCATTCGGTATGCATCTCAAATATATAAAATATGATAAATATGATAATAAATAAATATGATAAGGAAAGATTTTTTAATAATTTTTAAGAATAATAGTTGTCAATTTTTATATAGTAGTAAATTTTTTTTTTAATATTTATAATGAAAAAATATGCTATTTTTTGCAAGTTTATTTAAATTTAAGATAATATATTCAGATATATATGCAAATGTAATTATATGTAAATACATTAAACGCGTATCAATAAAAATGTACAAGAAAATGCATTGTGCAAAAAGTGTGATATCAAATGCATTTCCTGGAAAAAAAAAATTATTACAAAAAAAATAATCCAAAATATTAATTATTAAATCTATTTTTCTTTATTAATTTACAAATTAATATTTATAATTTTGTACTATTATATTACTATTATATATTATATACATTATAAAAATAAATAAAAATTGTGATAAAATTGTTATATAATTTTCATATTTAGTGCTTAATGTGCACGATATAAATTTATAAATTGAATTTAAAAAGATAAAAGTACAATAATTTTTAATGTTTTTATATCTTAGATTTTCTTTCTTTTATATTTTATTTAAAAAAAATTGCAATGCATTAACAAGTAATATAAAGAATCTACTATATAATTGATAATATAATAATATAATGTGATAATAAAATAGTAATATCAGATTCTATAATAAATATGCTTTTTTTTTTCATTCCATTGTATAATAATTTTTAATCCATTTCATTAAAAATTAATAATATAAATATTATTATAGATAATAATTTATTTCATAGTAATAATCATTAATTTTAAATAAAAATAAAAATTATATTAAAATTATATTTCTAAATTTCTATATTTCAAATAAAATTGTTATTCACAAATAAAAAGAAATAGATTTAAAACTTTTTAAAATTTTCTCTCTAAAAAAAATAATTATACAAAGAATTTAAAATAACTTTGATCATTTTACTGTAATTTAAAAATGTAGTCTCGAGAAAGAAACCATTTAAAACGTCAAAATATAACCAAAGATTGTGTTCAAGTTTTCATGGAACAACTTATGAAAAAAGAAAATCTTTTCATAGAAACAATTATTATAAAATATAATTTATTCATACTAAATTATAAGCAAATGACTTTACATCGCTTTTTTTGAAAGTACTTCAATTATTTTACACGTGTTTCTCTTAACCAAATAATAAACTCGAGTAAAAGATAAAAATAATTAGCTTTTCGTATATATAATTATAAAAAAACCATTTACAAAGAATCAAAGATAAATATTTTCATTAAAGCATATAAAATAAAAGAATAGATTATTTTATTTTACCAAGCAAAAATAAAATAATAATAGATTGTTTTAAAATGTGATTCATCTGATAAAATTTTTGCAATATAGTTGCGATATAATTATTTAATGGAAAACATTTGTTATAAAATTTTCTATTAATGCAAGAAATAAAAATATTTTCACATAAAATTAAGATCTTATAAAAGCGTAATTATTCATATCCAATATAATGTTCAGATAAATCCAATGTTTCAGATAAAATTTTCCTAAAACAATCTCAATTGTTTTAGAAATATGGTGGCAAAATCGAAAAGCAACGAAAAAAAACAAAAAATGAAGAAAAAACAGTGCATACAATTACAAATTTACATTACAAATTACAAATTTTTAACATATTTAAATGTTTTTTATAATATTTTTTAAATTTAATTTAAAAAATAATTTAATAATTTAATAAGTAATAAAATTTATTATTACTCGATTTTAAAAAATATATTAAAAAATATTTTAAAAAATATTTAATAATATAATATAATCGAAAAAGTCGATAACTTTATATTTTTTTTTTTTTTAATTAAAAAAAGAAAGACAAAAATCAATACCTCTGATGCAGTTTAAAAAACAATTTATTTACGCTTTTGATGAATCAATTTGTCTTTGTTGAAAAAAATTATAAAAAACTTAAAACATTAATAATCAAAATTTCTATTTAATAGTTTCAATATTAAATACATCAGAAATATATATCTTTTGCAAAAATTACTGATCCCACGCAAATCAACAACAGAAAAATGCAAACAAATCATAGTCCATCATGTCAACGGAAATGAGTCGTGAAAAATGGCGGGAATATTATGCGTCAGTATATAGACTCTTTATACTTAAATTCATCCCATAAATAATGTAAATCTTCTAAAATCTGACTATATCTTATAACTGAAAATTTTATTAAAGAAAAATTAAAATCTTTTCAAGACATATTTTAAATCAATTTATTAATAAATTTATAATTTGGATATTTTCGATAATTCGAGTGTAAATATGTAGAAATTCTCATTTTTATTAACATTATTAAAACATAAATTTGTTTTATCATTTAAATATTATAGCAAATATATATTTTATTTTGAAGATTTTATATATTTGCATAATACTCGCTCTAACAATAAAGAATGATCGTAACCAATATTAATTCATGGATTTTGATTAAAAAAGTTATGATACAAAAGGATATTTTCTCTGAATCAAAAAAATTCGAACAAAATATCCAGTCCAATTTTTTAAATCACAAAGGATTTCTAAAAAATATTTTTCATTTCCTATTTCCAATATACGTACCCAAACAATCTCATTATTTATTGGATGACCTAATATCCCTCAGGAAAAGTTCCGGAAATCAGCCGAAACAACCAATAGTGACGTCGATCGATTCTGTTCAGATAAAATTGACAAACAATTCTCACTTTCAACGTGATCCTCAGTGACCAGAATCACCGATGAATAATATCGAGAAAAACACGCGCACAGTCTCTCTATTCAAAAGAATCCAACATTGCAATATCCAATATCTGTGCCAAGGTCCATTCTAAATTCTAAATGGAAATTAAAAAAATTCATCTTTCTCTTCTTTCTATCCCTTATGATTTTTCAACTCGATTTCAATTTCAATCTCAATTTCGGATCTGAAGAGATCGTCTAAGGTGACGTTAATGTTATAAAGTGGATAAAATAATTCAAAGATCAAAATAATTCACAGATGTCGATGGATGCGATACATTAAACTATGTATTGTGTGTTTTAGGGAAACGTGATCACGATAGATGAGAAGCAGGGTAAAACGTTGATCCCGCGCTGGACTAGAAGGTACTGCACCAAACACGCGGACCGATATAGCCCTCAGACAGGTAGATCAATATAGTAGCTACGGCATGCCTAACACGCAGGATCTCTTGTGAACGCGTGATTCTCAGTCCGTGGTGATTGAGGATGAATCTCAATTTCATCTCAAATTGAAGATAACAAGAGCTAACTTGATTTGAAACAAGGAATAAGTAATTAGTTCGAATAAGTAATTAGTTTATTCTAAATTATTAAAAAAAAATTTGAAAGCATTGAATCTGATTGATTGAATTTTTTTTTTTTTGATAGTAGTACTTTTGTGAAATGAAAACTCATTTCAAATGATTCATTTAGATTGCTTTTTTAGAAAATTCTAGAAAGATATGATATTGAAAGCATGGCAAGTATTTTTATTAAAATAGGAATTATATATGTATGTATCTATTGATATTCAGTGTAGTTTAATTTTTATCATTTATGTAGGATGTACAAGAAGAAAATTGAATAGATCTATTGATATGTTTATCAAGTCATATTTTCATTCATACATTCATACATTCATTTCTTATTGATTTATGTAGATCTAATTGAAATGAATAGTTCTTTATTTTTCAAGCATTCTTTGATTTTTTTTTTCTTTTTTGCTTGTATTATATTATCATTAATAAGTATCATTTTATAAAAAAATAAAGACTTATTGCTATATTTTATTGTTTGAGTAAAATTTTTTTTAAATAAATTAATAATTAATGAACCAAGCCTTTATTATATATTCCACAAATATGACGTTATAAATATTTGATTTTCTCTTAAATATATGTATATATATACTTATATATATTATGCAGTATATAATATATTTATGTATAAATTATGTATAAATATATATGTATGTTATTTATATAATATAAATTGATTGTTTCAGTATCAAGAAGAACTTAGAGCAACATTTCTTTATTCTTTATATTTCTTGGAAATAACAGTATATTTAATATTATATATACCTTATATATACCTATTTTCACCTAATCCTGAATTTTCGAATAACTCGGTATCTTTTTTTCTCAGCTATACATAATTCGATCGAATGCTGACTATTCATTCACTTCTGAATTGTTAAACCCTCCCTGAGTATCTGATCGTGTGATATAGTTTTCCTTATAATTTCCTTTAAGAAACTATGAGGTTTAGTATGTATTATGATATTACATATATTAGAATCTAACATTTAAATAATGAATTATATAATATTTAAAGACAGTTTAGTATTGTACAAGTTATTATTAGTTCGCAATTCTTTTCTTCTAACTGTGGATGGTTACATCTGAGAAAGATATATGATAAAAATATAAAGAATTAATTAATTTTTCCTTCTAATTTTCATATAAAAATATAATTAATGATTAATAATTTATAAACATTGTTGAATTTAAAATAATAATTATTGTTTTATTAAAGTAATTTTTAAAAAAATATATATATATAAATATATATAAAATAAATATAATTGTCAGAAACAATGAAAAAATATTTGAGACAAAATAGATATTTGTAATTTAATTAAATTAGATTCTAAATTTTAATTATCTAACATTTAAATGTATTGTTTTTTAAAAATACTTGTAGTGTACAAAACTGACATAAATTCAGTGTTGAGAGATACGTTCGCAAGCACTTTAGATGCTTAATGACATGAAATTTTATTAATTAGAGGTAACTTAATCTTGCTATTTCTATCTTCATGAACAATTTTTCAGTCAAGTGTATAATGATGTTATTATTCACATATAACATGATGAAATTTTAGATATTTTATACAAAAAAAAATTTCTTTATCTTTAATATTATAGAATTAATTATGCAATTTTTATAAATATAAGAGAAAATTATTCTATAAAATATATTTTTATAAAATAACTAATTTCTTTAAATTATATCAATTGAATGAAATATAAATTTTCTAATAGAAAATTCAATGATAATATTATCGTTTCCATCTTCATTATTAAACATTGGAATAAAAAAAATAGATTCATTTAAGAGAATAATCAATTGATATCCGCAAATAAAAAAAATTCCACTTCCATCAAAGAAATTGATTAAAAAATCCAATTTGGGTTGAATATAAAATTGTGTGATAATTTAAAATATAGAATATGAAATAATGGAATATAAAATAAAATAAAAAGACATTTTTTAAGAAATACTTTTCTCATTCATATATTTGATTTTCACTTAATTTTTAATTTTCATACAAACAATTAAGAATATAGAAATAAAAAGAACATTAAATATCATTCAACAAGATTTAAACATCTTTCTGTTTTTACTCTATCATTTACAATTTATATGTTATCAATAATTTTGCAATAAAATAAATGACGATTACAATTCAAAACTTTATGGATTATTTGCTTTTTATCTTTTAAGAAATAAATTATATTCAATTGTAGCATGATTCTTTTATAATCATGTTCATTTAAAATTTCTCTACGTAAGATTCACGCAAAAAATATAATTATATGTAAATTAAAATCATTCTTACGACATCATAATTTTTTTAACTCAAATGCTTGAATCAACTTATTTTAATGAAAAGAATCGATTAATGAAATTTCTGAACTAAAGTTAAGGCTATTTAAACCAATTAAGATTCAATGTAGCCAATTAAATGTAATGCCCGATACGTTTGTCGCCTACATGACGAAGGATTTAAATCCCACATTAAATATTCGATTAAATTCGATTAAAGCATTTAAATACACTAAATTTTATAGAATTGGAAGTTAAACGATGACTATGAAATACAAATAAAAGAATAGATAATGTGTGCTATACTGGGGAAGAGGAATTCGTGATCACTGTTATTTTTTTTTATGATGCAAAAATAATATAATTATTTAAAAAAATATATTATTATCTTAATTACTTAGAAAGAAATTTTTTAAATATACAAAACATTTTTTAAAGATTTTAAATGTTAGAACATTCATTAAAAACATTGAAAATATTAGAGTAATACAAAGCAAAACGCAAAATAATAGAACTTCTATAATACAACATTTGAACAGTAAAGCTTCTATGCTATTATTTTTTGAATGGATCAACTCAAATAGTTGAACCTCTATTCATAAACATTCAAATGGAACTTTCAAACAGTAGGAAATTGAAATAGTAGAACTTTTACGTAATACATATTCAAAGGTTCTACTATTTCTACAAAGAGACTCATAAAATAAAGAAAGAACGAGCAATCGTTTCTCAAATATTATTTTAACAGTAAAACTTCTCATATACAGGACATTCAAAGTAATAGAACAATAGCATATTCAAATGATAAAACTTTTAAATAATTGAAAATTTAAATAGAATTTTTATATAATATATATAATATATATTCAAATAACCAAAAATTCTACTATTCCTGAAAAAATTCGTAAAGCAAAGAATGAACAAAAAAACAGTCGTTCATAATTTCGATTCAGTACCGATTCTCACTATCGGGACAGGACAGGGGACAGAATGGTTATACCGAAATGGCCCTGCCCTACCCTATCCTGATCCGATAATGTAAATCGGGAACGACTTTCGAATGAGAAAAGTCCTTTTTCAGAGATGAAACGTCGATCTTAAATCCCACGATGCTTTCTTCTTCCAAATTCCAATCACAAGTAAGACCAATTCTCACTATCGGGACAGGACAGGGGACAAAATGTACCTGCCAAACGGCCCTGCCCTGCCCTATCCTGACCCAATAATGCGAACCGGGCATGATCCAGCTATCAGATTGTAATCGATTGGTTGGGATGAATGGATGATTTGTTGATCTCCGATCGATGATATTCGATTAACGAAGTTGAAAAGTCGTGAAAACGAGTTTGAAGATAAATCGAAATGATATGAGAAAAAGTACTGTAGAATAACCTTCTATGAAGTATTTTTAAAGTGTTTCTAATCTTTTTGCCACTTTTTCAGGATTGACAAAATTTCTATTTCTCAAAATTATTTTTTTTATATCCAGATTTAAACATATTTTTAACTTTTATTTCCTGATTTAAAAGATGATTTTTTTATTTTTTCAATATAAAAAAATTTTTATTATTATTTAAAATTATGTATCAATTAACAATAAATTATTTGAATAATTAATCTTTAAAATAAAATTTTTAAATTTATTTAAAAAATATCTTTATTGTTAAATATTAATTATTTTCATTTGAAATAAAAATTGCTCAACTTTATATATGTTTTTGTAAAATTTTAATTAGGACAACTCTAAGTTCTGACAACATTACATCAAAAATTAAAAATTTTATTATTTTATAATTGAATTATTATTATTGTATTAATTTTATAAATGAATCTTTAATTTAAATTTAATAAATTAATAATAAAATTAATAAATAAATATATTTTCAATTTATTTAAAGTATTTTATAAAAAAATTAATTTTTATAGAAATTTTATTGCTTTTACATATTTATATTATTTATATATATTTTATTTTTTATATTATGAACTGTATGTAACATTAAAACTGTAGGAATATGATAAAATTTTATTTTAATAATATAAGATGTATGCAAAAGCTTTTAAAAGCCGAGTAATTGCGATAAATGAAATATTCGTGATAAAACATCAAAGTTTACTTAATAGATATGATTTAAATCGTATTTAGCCATAATTAACTATTTCAATTTATTAAATGTGTCATGTTCTAGATACTCTCTCTCATAAACTTGGAAACGATTCAAGTTGCATGAAGTTGAAAGATTCAATTTGCAGAAAAATTGATTTATGCTTTGGAATTAAATTATAAATTTAAAATTACATGATATCAACACGAAAGAGAATAAATGATGCAATAATATTTAATAACATTTTTTTGATGATATAAAAAAAAGCTGATAACATTTGAGTTTTAACTTATGTATTTAATAATATATTAAAATTTAGATTTTGTTTCTCAAGATAGTCAGAGAATATTAGAAATCATTATATATGAGAATATTGTAAAATATTAAAAACCAAATGACATATTTTAATATTTTGCTAATCTTTATAAAACTTAAGGAAAATATTAAGGAAAATTTATGAAAATCTTCTGAATTTTTCAAATTTTATAAAATAGGAGCCAAGGAAAAAAAAACAATATAGAAAAAAAATATTAGACAAATCCTTATAATTTTCTTCTATAAGTACAATATCAAAAAACAAAATATAAAAGAATTTTTATAGATTGGAAAAATTGCAAATAAAATATGCTAATCCATTACCTTAGTTTAATAAAATTAAATATATTCAATTGCTAAATAAAATAATGAATGAATCTTCTATATAGCAAATAAAAGCAAACGGAATTAAAAGCCAAGCCCAAAAACTTATTTTTGAACAATCAATGAATTAGCTCACCAGTAGCCGAGCCTGATGACGATGATCTCGTTTGAGTAACTGCTCTCGCTTCCTGAAATTGCTTTACTCGAGCAATTCCACTAGGTAACAGTACATCATTCTTCGCCAAAGAACTAACAGACGAAGACTTCACCTCCACCTTCTTCATCTTCTCTTGAATGTCTTTAGCATCATTGTTCACTTCTAACTCATTTACCTTTTCTTGTTGATCTTGAGCCGGACATTTCTTCATTCTGACTTCTTTTGTTTTAATTCACAGAAAAGCAAATTTATAATTTGTATTTTATCAACATGAAATATTTTATAGTAGCGCATCGAATCTGAGAAAAACAAGAAAAACTGTTATACTTGTTGTGTATTCTCACTTTTGAATTATTGCTGTAAATGAGAATCAAAATTCCTTTTATTAAAATTCGTTCTATTAGTTTTAACTGAAATTTATGTTTTTGTTAGTTATTGATAAAATATTTGCCTTAATAATTTTTTTCTTTCAATTATTTCATATCCACAAAAATAATTGCAAAAAAATGTAAATAACAATAGCAATTAAAAATATGTAAGATTAAAATATATATATATATTAATAATAATAATTAATTACACATAGTAGAATATTAATAAAATATAATAAATAATAAAATATTAAAATAAATGATAATAAAAGTCATTATTATGATTAGTGGTAATGATCAAATATAATCAATCAAATGATCAAAAATAATCTTGATTAAACATGATATCGTTCAAATAAAATTGTCTTTTAATGGTGATACTTAAACTGCCGGAAGTCTCTGCTCGTATACGCGGTTGCTGAACAAATAGTTTTAAAACGTTTTTAAATTTATCGCAAAGCACATGTAATTTCTATCATAATCAAAAATATGAGAAAGTGAAACTCAGAATGAAAGTCGAAATATTCATATTATTTTTTTCTCAATTTTTTAATATAATGAAAATTTAAATTCCTTAAATAATTTGTAAATTATATAAATATAAAAAAATATTATATTTCTTTGAAAATAAGTATTCATAAAATGCTGTAATAATTTTTTGTATTATTTATAAATAAAAATGAAAGAATAAATAAAGAATACAAAATAGAATACAAAAAAATATAAAATAAATTATTTTTAAAAAAATTTTAAAATTTTAAAATTTCTTCGCTATATCTATTTTTCAACACATATCACAAATTATTTTAATAAATGATAAAGTTTAAAAAGAATTTTATCTATTTATATCTCGATGCAGCGAATTTCAAAATTTAAATAATTATATTTAAAATTGGCAATTGAATATTTTAAAAAGTTATAAGAAATTAAAAAATTAATTTCACAATAAAAAAATTATTTAAATAATAAATTTTATATAAACAAAAAGTATATTGCAAAAAATAAATAAATAATAGAAATATAAAAATGAACAAAACAATCCAACGTTGGAATTGGTTTAATAAACTGATATCTGAAATACATTACGCGCTATTGAATAAACCTGTTAACAAAGGAAAAAAGATATAGAATGTTATAATTAATAATAACAAAACTCGATATAATGTATAAAAAATAAAAATAGTAAAAAGAATAAGACCTACTAATTTATAGTAATATTTGATAATAACATTCTATAATATTATAAGTTAAATATTATAAAGTTATTACTCAAATGATGTAATAATTTTAAAATGCAAATAAATTAAATAATTTTGAATCAATAAAATAACTAAAAACATATATTTAAATAATAATATATTGTAATTTACGATAAAGATTGTAAAAAAATTTAATTTTTTTTTAATTAATATAACATTTTAGATTAAAAGAATTATAATATTT